TTGGACACCAAATACATACAGTCCATATCCGGCAGACAGGGTGGGCGGGGCCACAGACGTAATTGCGGACTACACAAATTTGATAGTTGTCGCCCTGATCAGCTGACTTCCCTGTATTTCGTTGAATTCTTCGTATTACTCGCGCATTCTGCAGTAATTCCTTATTCTCTATGGTGCTATTCTGCTACGTCAGGTTCGTTTCAGAGGAGGCAGGTAAGTTTCAGAAAAAAATAATGCTCTTGTTCGATTGAATTGCACGATTTGCTGCCTGTTTTGCATGCAGCTGTTGTAACCGCTGAATTTCTTTTTTATTTTTCATTTCACCTTTTTCCGTTCGACTTGTTCTTCATCACAGCTTCTTTATGTGTTCTCTGTTATATGTAGAACACTATTTGAAGCTGTTTTGAAGCAACTCGTCGCTTTTGTGCATGCAATTTTCCAGGTCATGCTGCAGCTGCTGCTCTTTTGGTAAGTTTTATTTTTATTTGGCGTTGATCCTTTTTCTTTTCGACTTGTTCTTCATCACAGCTTCTTCTATGTGTTCTATTTGTTGTGTAGAGCACTATTTGAAGCTGTTTTGAAGCTACTCGTCGCTTTTGTGCATGCAATTTTCCAGGAATCGCTGCAGTCGCCGTCTCTTTGCATATCCAGGAGTTTTCTTTTTTATTTTTCATTTCACCTTTTCCCGTTCGACTTGCTCTTTATTGCGGCACCTTTTATGTGTCTCCTTTCTTGTGTAGAACTTCATTTGATGTTGTTTTGATGCAAGTTGTCGCTTTAACGCATGCAATTTTTCAGGTCGTGCTGCGGCTGTCACAATTTCAAGCAGTTTCCTAGGTTAGTAGTCTACTAAAAGGCTGTTTTTTTTTCAAATCTTGTTCTGCTGACAACTGTACCTAATCTATATATCTTCTGTGAGGAAAAAGAGTCGCTAAACACGCAGGTTCTATAGCAAAAAGCGTCGACGTGATCACAAGTTAGGGCACAATAGCCACACCATAACGCCCGAAACGCCAGGAATGTCTTTATCCGAAAAACCCTGCCACATGTACGCAATGGCTGCCGAAGGAACGCAAAAGACAATTGCTAGCGCAACATAAAACGACAGCACAGCAAGTTTCAAAAATAACCAATCCAAAGAACTCCCAACCGCAAAAAATCATTAACCGTGGAGAGGGATTTGCGAAAGCTTGGCGGCGCCGTAAGTGAGCGATTGCGACACCAAACAAAAAAGAAAAAGCTTGGGAAACTAGATATTAAACTGTCAGGCAGAACAAGATCGAGAAAAAAAAGGAGCCCTTAGTAAGTCTATCTAAAAGTAAGAAACTTGCTGAAGATTGTGACAGCCGCAGCACGATCTGAAAATTGCATGCGTTAAAGCGACAACTTGCATCAAAACAACATCAAATGAAGTTCTACACAAGAAAGCAGGCACATAAAAGGTGCCGCAATAAAGAGCAAGTCGAACGGGAGAAAGGTGAAATGAAAAATAAAAAAGAAAACTCCCTGGATATGCAAAGAGACGGCGACTGCAGCGTGACCTGGAAAATTGCATGCACAAAAGCGACGAGTTAGCTTCAAAACAGCTTCAAATAGTGCTCTACACAACAAATAGAACACATAGAAGAAGCTGTGATGAAGAACAAGTCGAAAAGAAAAAGGATCAACGCCAAATAAAAATAAAACTTACCAAAAGAGCAGCAGCTGCAGCATGACCTGGAAAATTGCATGCACAAAAGCGACGAGTTGCTTCAAAACAGCGTCAAATAGTGTTCTACATATAAAAGAGAACACATAAAAGAAGCTGTGATGAAGAACAAGTCGAACGGAAAAAGGTGAAATGAAAAATAAAAAAGAAATTCAGCGGTTACAACAGCTGCATGCAAAACAGGCAGCAAATCGTGCAATTCAATCGAACAAGAGCATTATTTTTTTCTGAAACTTACCTGCCTCCTCTGAAACTCCACAACTTCTTTTTTCCTGAAATAAAAACACCGTCGAGCGGGAGAGGTATATAACTACTATGGAACCGAAAAAATTCCCAAATTTTATCCCGCGCGCTCTCTCCTCATTACATGTAATTTCACCTACCAAAACAACTACGACCCCCGTTGGTACTTGTCCCAACATAGGGTTGACCCTGTTTTGTACTCCTCCCGTTCTCTATATCTGAGCTAATTCTAATCGGTGCCATCAGCAGGTGACATACATCTAGCTGATGAACACTTCAGAAAAATTATTGTGGAAAAATCAACAAACAAACCGGCGACTTCTTTTGCTCGGATTGCAGCGTTGCCTGTCTGGCCAACTTATTCAGTTCCTAAAATCCGAGCAGTCACAAAGGGCCCCTTGACATAGTTCAAATGGAAATGTGACGACGGCTGTAAGTTAAGATTTGGAGAAAAGTTACCCTGATTCGCTCTAGAAGATCATGATTCAACGGCTTTTCTTTGCGAATACAATCAGTGACGTCAAGCAGCAGCCGCTCGGCAACCCCAGTGATCATAGACCATTCACGATCGTCAGATTCATCTGCACGATGAGCAAAATATCGGACCAAATTCTGAAAGAACCCTTTGGCAGAACTACAACGTTGAAGATTCGAAGAATGATTGTACCTCGAGACTCTTTCTAAGCTGTTCCTTTTCCAGCATACGATGAAGATCTCTGTGTTCTTTGCTTTCCTTGCTACCCGTGCTCTCCCTACTGCCTCTACTGTCCTTGCTCGTACTCCTCTTTCGCTAACCCTTGGCTCGCTGCTTGTTGTGAGAAAAACACTTGCTCACGCCGAGGTGCGTTTCCTCCGCTAACAAAGCGAGATGTTACTTGTTTGAACTTATGGCACCAAGATTCAACCAGGACTAATCTATAAGCTAAATGAAATGGTTTGAAACTTTAACCTCCACGCTCCCAAATTTTCTGGAACATGAATTGCGCGAAATTGTTTAGGTGAGCTGTTCAAGACAAGTTATTCCTTCGATTTGAAGTCAGTGAAGATCACGACATTCGTCAATAGCTTAATATAAAAGTCCTGAGCCCTTAATCCACTCTTTTGTTCTGTGCAACGCCTATCGTGACGAATGTGTTGATCACCCCGGTTTCCAAATTTCGTATATCGTAATACCCTTTCACATGAACAATGCCTGCGTAAATGCATAGATATAATAAAAAGTGACTGCGGGCGGCCTCAAAAAATCTGATAAGTGATAGTTTATAGTGAGAACCAATAGTTAACCCATAACGGTCACCATGTGGCGCACACCTAATCGGGCCCGAGGGCGCCGTGCCGCAGTGTCGCACGACCTCAAATGAAATTTTTCGAGTTTTGCACACAACTTTCAGTAATACAAATATAGCCTTGTTTAATACAGACAACCTAGTAGAAATAATAATGTTTCTCAATGACGATAGTATCATTGTTTGAAAACTAACAACGCCCAATAAACTATCCCCTATATTCATTACGCTTAGACAGTTAAACAACACTATTCCAAACATCCGAGATAGAAACCTTCATCATAGAAACCATGCTAACTGCGACGACAGAAAAGAAAAGATACTTGAAAGTACGACTAGGAACGCGAAACCTGAATTTATTGGATACCCAAGCAGGGTGAAAATCGTGTCGAGTACGTGGTCGCAGAGGTACGACCCCCCCCCCCGAAATCGAGATCCTGGCACGACCCCCTCTAACAGAGCAAATTAATTCAATTAAAATAAATCCTGCAAAACAAATCAAAAAAAATTCTGCAAAATAATGCTAAGGACGCTTCATCTTGTCATCTATGCACGTCTTCCATCGCTGCATACTTTTGTGTACATACTGAAATATCGACTCGAGGAAAGAGGCATTAACTTTGTGTGACCTCAAGGCGAGGTTCGTTCAGAAACGCACAGAAATCCTGAAGACACGGGGTTGCGATTCAATCTTGATTCTTGCTTGAGTATATCAAAACAGCCGAGTGTATCAAAGGCCGATTCAACGGCAGCTGCGGCGCGATTGTCACTGGGTCAGATTTGCCGAAATTTCAAAAAAAAACGTCCGAATCTACACCCTCGATGAAAAGGTTGCATTCCTCCATTTCACAACCTTTGAAGCAGCTTGAGGTAGAGTTAGATAGAGCTGGATTTCGCGTTTCCAACAAGCATCGAAATTGCTCTGGAAGCCTTCCTTGCAGAAAGATAGGGTCTGTCAAATTTCGTCGAGTAAATGTCGAGGAGGCCCGAAATTTTCACGCGAGTTTTTGCCACTTCAAGAGCAATATATCTCTTATATTGTAAGATCCTGAAAAAGGGAAGGTAGTTTTGGAAAGCGGAAGGTTCGCGCTTCCTGATGGTCTGTTTAGTTTTCTTCTACAGCTTTTTGGTTGAAGAGATAATTGCGTCGAGGATCTATCGAGGACGGATCCGGCCACCTGGAAATCCGCTCCCTCATTCACCATTGCAAGTGTGACTCGTTGGCAACACTCGGAATGTGTCTAGAACAATATCTTTGAACGCAAACAATAAGAATAGGAGCAATCGTCATCATCCGATTTGGTATTGGTATAAGCCATGCATCCCTCCTCCACTCACAGTTGCAGAATCCATTGAAAGGTGTTATATGATGGGGACCTTCGAACGAAACTGTACTGTAGCAGACATAGTGTGTTGTGCTATTCCTGTAAGCCTAAAAAACAACTTCATTTGCCCAGCGCTTTTTCTTCACGGTTGTCGTTTTTCCGACAGGGTCCCTAACAACAGCGTCATTCTCAGCGAGGTATTAAGGGAGAAGGAGCGAGTGATAGGCGGAGGAGGTGCCTTTGCAGCGCGTGCGCACATGTGGCACTCTTCTTTGCGGGGATGCACTTTCATTCTTTGTACTGCCTTCAAATACGCCCTTCTCATGAAGGTGGAGGAATGGAGCGACTGAACCTGCAAAGAAAATTTAATATCATGTTTTTTTCGGATGTTTTCATTTTCTGCTGCGCTATACCCTATTACCTATCTGCACCATGATACCACTTCTGTTACTGACCCCAAGAGTACGACCCCCCATGGACCAGCCCAACAGGTACGACCCCCCTGTCGAGGATTTCCTCGACCGATATTCACCCTGCCCGTAAGTCACAACGAACGCAAACACAAACTCTAATTAAGTAAGAATAAGGGAATACGTGCATGAACTTTCTTGCGCAGTGTTTTCTCGAAGAAATGTGGTTCAGTTTTGCTGCGTTGCTTCTGCCTCATCTGAGCTCTCTCGGTAAAATAGCGTGCTGTCATACCACAAACTCGCACATCCTCCGTATCCTAATAGCTTGTAATTGGTCCTTCTCCACAACCTCCCCTACACTTCGTCGCTTCGCTACCTAAAGTTCCATGGACATTCTGTGTCGCCGGAGATAAATTTGGAGTGGCTTTTTTTTTCTTCTTTTTTTTTGCTTACTAAACCTGTTCTCACTGAAGTGAAGTATCAGAATGGAGGACTACATGTACGCCAACAGCTCGATCCTTCATGACTGAGTTCGGCACCAAAAACAGGTTTCCAGCGCCATTAGCTTGCATTAGTGGCAATTTATAGGACACACTATATCATCTGCAACTAATCACAACTGTCATTTTTTACTACCAATTGACTAATCATTTCATCGGCAATAAACGTGCGGAGCCCACCGTCACCAGTTGTTCTCTGCGTAGAGGTGTATCTTTGTTTGCGGAATCAATATTAAACGGAATACTATTTATATGGAGAAAAAGAAACATGACCATCTGGTAACTGTCCAAGGCAGTTCCAACATCGAAGCATGTGGTTTTGCTCTCGGAAATGAAACGATATGTGCGTAGGTGGTCGTCAATGAAGAAAGGAAAATCTGACTTATTGTTAGGTGAACAGGACTATGGCGAAGAGACAAACGGAGCCCGTTGCTTCACGGATATCAGCTGCAACCCACACTCAGTCTTACCAAGGCACCTGACACATCCAACTCAATTGTAACCACTCTTTCAGTGCGCACGTGCTTTAGGTTTCTGTGAGAGCTGACTGAGTAGCGGGGCAATGCATTTTGCAACGCGTTCGAAGAAAGCTATACTGATATTAAACACTTCACCTTATCACAACAACCACCACTTAACACTTGCGTCCTATGTTTATGTGATCATCGCATAGGCAGATCAATCCTCATTTTTCTCATATTTCAGACCTAAATCCATTTTGCAACCTCTGTGTTTGTTGCTAAATTACCTCTAACGAGCAATAATATAGGTTGTTGGAAAAATTCCTCGCATTTTTCAGGGTGAAAACACCGATCATCGGAAGGGGGGAACTCGTGGAGGAGCGCTGAGGACGCCTTAGGATCCGACGCTACTTTCTGAGCATCTCCGTCTTTTTAATCCCATACGAAGAGAAAGCCTTGTAAATACTTCCAAAGTTGCTAAGAGATTCAATCTATCAATCCTGTCTTGATGCCGTGTGCCGTGTTTTTTTTTTATTTATTGCTCACGGCTTTTTCGCTATTTCACATGTATTGCGTAAGTTTTTTCATCATTTGTTTCATGACTTTTATTGTTACATCGAGGATAAAACTTTCCGTAGGTAAGAGAATGATTCAACAATTTCTACGGTGCAACATTGTTCATGTTTTGTCAGCTACGGTCATCACTTGCATGGTGCTGCTTCCCGAATCTTATGGTTGCCCCAAAGATGATCAGTCGCTTCCTGTCAACCATTTCAAAAATCAAAGAAGCCTCAGACTAGCATAGCAAATGTTTGCCGAGCAATGACTAATCAAGCAATCGCTCTTCGATCTGGGGGGCGCACTGTAAATCCTCAAGATCAGCTGTCAGAAATTCTGTGAGTCGTTCTTGTCGCCTCCGTCCAGGTTGTGTCCAGGTTGCTTGTGAAAAGCTTACTGCGTCTACGCCGCGAATTTCGAGATTCAGAACAAATTAGTGCTCGCTTTCAGGAAAGAAGAGGTCCGCGCCAAAGACGCCATCTACTGCTGACCTTTTCGGTATATACGGTCCTGGTGATTATATTTGTTGAGTAAATTAGATTGCATGCTGAATAAAAAGTAAAGCAGAAAAGGATGTCAAGAAGCTCAAGACTTTCTTACTAATATGCTTCGTTCTGAGCAATTCGTGGCCATGCGTACTGAGTTTACTTAGATTCCATGGTGATTGGAGTCAGTCATGTGAGCGGTCGACTTGTTGTACAGATCATTCAATTGGCTAATACTACTGTAATCCTCAAAAACCACCTTTTCGGTCGGATGATCATAGATTCCAACATTTGGCCTTATCATTGTCAGATTCTCCACATATGGCCATTACTTTCAAATCGGCTCCCGGTCAAAACATAGACTTATTGCTGTTACTGTTCAATGGATATCCCAGTTGAAGACGCATCGCAAACTCTAGAGCCAGAGGTGCCTGTTATAATCGATCTGCTACTTCAGATCAGACTGAGCCCAATGCGTTTTATACCAATGACGTCAGATCGTCGACTTAGACATACATAGTCTCACTGCAGGCAGTTGCAGAAATCCCAGGTTCAGAAAACTCAGGCGCTCGACCTTTCGGGAGAACAAGAGGGTGCCACCAAGACGCGCAGTCTATGGCTGACCTTTCTGTTTAGGTTCTGGCGCGTCCACTTCGCAGGTTCCTCAGGATTCAGCAG